TCCCAGCCCGTGGCTCTCAAGTGAAAAATTCGCCTTGAAGACGGCATTCATGTACCCCAGAAGCAGCTAGCTGAGGCTCGTGCAGCAGGCGATAACAGAGCTGAGTTGGCAGGCCTTGTTGTTGGATGTTCGTTGCCTTTTGTGTGAAGTCTTGAAGTTGCTGTCCAAGCTGAAGTGTCTGGCTCAAGCAGAGCCGGCATAGCGCGAGGGCGCCGCTATGTTCAGGCCGCTGCACGGTTGCGAAGCGGGATTCCGCCGCAGACCTGTCGCATTAGGTCCACCTCCAGATCTCACACCCCCAAGCTGGGGCAGAGGTGCGGAAGTTTGCTGGCACTGGCCGACCTGGACTGTGTGAGAGAGACATGTTGCAGGTGTGGAGTCCTCCTTGCCAACCTTCTGCGGTAGCTTACATGACCGAGGCTGATGAAGCTGATGCAATGCTCCGTACACTGCCACGCTTTCTTGCCACTGCAATGAATTTGGCTGCTATCTCTTGCTCTCTTCAACGGTAGAATGACCCGCGGGCCTGAAACGACACTGCGAGCTGTTTGCAGGTCTCTGTGCGCAGTCTCTGGCTGAGAGCTTATTCATCATTGTTCTCTTGATTGTTCAACACATCAGAGCACGAAATGCAATGAAATGCAGTTCATCGGTGTGCGCTGTTGCCGAACCAGTTTGGAAGCACACAGATGCATCCAAGAATGCAGCAGTGCTGTAGGCTGCTTGGCCTGGGCTTGGGCAGCGCGTTGGAGGCGTGGGCGTTGCGAAGACAAGAGCTGCCTATGCATTCTCTCTTGGCCCGAACACGTCCAGGATGCACGTATCATGAGATCAGCCAGCAAGCACCCAGAGGTTTCGCGCTCCTTTGCGTGAGCCATTATTGGCGAGAACCCTGGGCCAAGGTTTCAAACCTGGCAGTCTCCATGCAGGCACGGGATGTATGCCTCGTGCTTGACAAGTTGCTCAGAGCTCTGAAAGCAGCTCTGTCTGCAGGTCACGTCGGACGGTTCAGTGGTGTCAAGGTCGGCATGTTCATGCCAGTTTATGCCCATTTGCAGAGGCAGGTCCCATTTCTTTCCTGTCAGGCCTGCACATCACCTGGCCACCAGCAACCAGGAGCCAAGGGGGCCAAAAGAAGATTTCCTGGTCTTCAGCAACTGGTTCTTCTGGGTTGCCTGTGAAGGAATGTAAAGAAGTTACTCTCACAAGGCAACCCTATTCTCTACCATATACAGACAGGCCTTAATAAACCCTACATACCCAATCATATTATGGTAACTTAGTGTAAGTTCATTAAAAGCAATCCAGTCTTTGGAGGCCCTGCGCGAGACTGACCGGAGGTCCAGCCGCGCAGCTCCCGAGGCGCAGCCAACCTGGGTTGCATTTGCGGGTTGGCCACCCATCTTCAGAAAGTACAGACATGGGTATCTTTCGGGGTCCCGATGATACGGGTTATAGTAGATTGCAGCCAGGTACCATTCTGAGGGTATAGCGCAGCCAAAATTCCTGGGGCCTAGGCGTTGCAAGCCGCCCACCCTCATCGGGACTATGATCCTCGAGCGGAAGAGAAGGTTTCGATTCTCGCCCATGTTGCGCTTTTTCAGCAATGGGCGTGGAGGCATGGCACGAACTTGAGGACAAGGGAACGGTGGGCGACATCGAGGCTGGGGGTTGAGTAGCAGAGAGCTCCTGGCTACCTTATGTTTGGTCAGGATCTCCCTTTGATGTCAGGCTCGCATGAGTCGTGCGAGGCTCAAAAAGGCCTTCAGCACGTGCCCGCCTTGAATCATCGCAAATTCTCAGGTGGGATGGTTCCTCTGGACCTCGGCTCAAGCCACACAGCTTCGCCGCAGCCTCGCTAGCCATGAGTTGATTTGCAACTTGCATAGAGGTTGCTCTGCTGCTCTGCTTGAAGGATTGGGACCTGCTGTCCCCTGAAAAGTGGACTTCCACGCTCTCTTCGCCTGAGCTTGAAGGCCGGATCCCATGAAGCCCTTTGAGCTCTAGTGGGAGTTGCGTTGTATGATCTTGTGCACAGCTCGCAGGCCAACGGCAGGAGGTTCAGGACAGGTCTTTTCCTTTCCAGTTCACAGCACTAGCCGGCCTTATTGGAGGACGCAGCCGAGGAGCGCCGGGCTGCTGGACGTCTCATCAGGCACCGGGTGACCCCAGCTCCGCCCTGCATGTGTTCCTCCTTGCAAACATGCGCAAGGAACGTGGATGCCTCCTGGTTGGCCACACTCGTTCGGCTTGGCGAGGGCGTAGGCGCACGTCCCGGTGCTAAGACTTCTGAACACGTTCTCTGCCCTGTCAGGTCCAATCACTTACTCAAGGCCAGTCTCAGATCAGCTTTGTGATGGCTTTGCAACACCGCCTTGATGCCTGATGACAGGTCGCCAGGAGCGCATCAGAGCCTGAATCGCGAGCTTCGCCAACGGCTCGTTGCCCAGGCATGGCAGCAAGCATCTTTCCCAGCAGCAGTGTGTTGTTGCCAGCAACGTCTCTGCATGGGGAAGGACATTGCTGTCATTTGTCTCCTGCTCCTTGGATGCATGAAGCTTATTGTGTTGTATGGCCGAACACACGATCCATGGGGATCCATCCCGTTCTCTGTTTCCAACTCTACCAAACACGCCAGTGTGGTACGATCCATGAAGGTCATTTGTTCTCGGGGTGGCTGTGTGGGTGAGCTGTTTGGGCGTCTACCAGTTCGCGGACGACCCATCTCAGGCGCAATGCACTGGGGTCCACTTGCTACTTCATATCCCTGACCCGGGGCTGAGACTGAGAGGTACTGTTCTACACAGATCCGAAGTTGGAGTCCCGGAGTCCCGGAGCTGATGCCTTGGTCTGACCAAGGGATGCGCGGCTATGGCTTCTGTGAGGTACACACAGCATCGGATCCTGTGTGCATCAGCAGATCAGGAGTCTTTCCTTGAGGTTCCAGCGGTCCTGCACTGCCTGTGCTGCTTTTCTGCTTCTGTAGTCGCGTCGGAGAGGCTTTCAATACGCAACCGCACCGTGCTACGAACCCTGGCTGCACTGGACGATACGATCCTCCCAACTGCTGGATGGGTTGCTGCATGGTCTCGGGAAGGCTGAGACTCATCGGGAGGAGGTGCCAGCCAAGGCCACATGGTTCACTGAGTTGCCGCGGATGTGAAATAGACAGCTCGTTTCGGTAGGACTAGCCGACGGTTCTGTGACTTCTTCCAAGGCAGGGTGACTCCTTGTGATTCTCATAGAACCCATAACCCGTGATCCTAATTACTTATAGTAAAATTATCATGCAGAGGCTCCAGCGCCTCGGCGCTGGCTCGCTTCTCCAGGCGCTTCATGCCTGGTCGCAGGTGCGGCCCTCCACCTTGGCCCGCAGGTTCTGAAAAAAGGTCTGAGGAAGACATGAATGAATTGCCTGGCAGGAGACCCGTCGCGGATGCAGATGTCATTTTTGACGTGTCCTTGGATTTGAGTTCGCCGGGGCCTCCTGTGGTCTGCGGGTTGCAGAAGAGATCTGAGGGAGAGAGATCTTTCGTGCTTGTTGAGGTTCATCTCAGGTGAAGGCCACTTGGCCTCTCCTGAGGAGGGAAGGAAGCTGGAAGGTCACCTTGGAAGCAGCAATCCACTGCAAGTCCTGGTACTCAGGCGCCTGCCTGTGTTGAATTTATTCTTCAGCAAGTCCAGCTACGCAGCACAGCACATCCTTTTGGGCAGGAAGCGAGTTCTTTGGGTCCGCTGCCTTGCTGTGCATTCATGTGGGGAAGGGGAATCCAAGACGCTGCAGGCCAACTGGGAGGACATGGCTACGAACATCAAGCAAAAGCTACGCGGAATGGGTGCAACTCTCAGTATTGTTTTTAAGATTCATCTGCAGCTTGCAGAAGCTTGCGGAGGCTTCCACGGTGATGTGGAAGTGCGCTTTGACTCGCAGGATGCCCTCAACCTTGCAACTGGCACTTGTATCGCAGCATGACAGCATAACCTGCGCAGTTTCTGCTCAAGCCAGGAAGATATGCGGATCTACAGGACCTTTGTCTTTCAAACATGCATGTTGCAGCATGCTGCTTCCTTAGCTTTTCAGGAATTCTCGATGGCAGAACTTTGTCCGCGCTCCGGTCACGCACATGCTTTCAGTGCTCCCGGGCAGATTCACGCTGGGGTGAAACAGCATTTGTGGATCTGTATAGTGTATAGGTACTGTCGGGGATTGGCATGCTGTTCTGGGTGCCGTACCTCTACTGCCGCTCTGATGTGGCAGCTTTGTTGAAGAATACTTGGCGCGCTCATTGCAAGACTTGAGCACGATGAGCGCGAGGTTGTTGTGGAGAGCAACTTCCAGATTCAAGTGGACGTTCACCGGTCGGGGCCACATCTTTTCGGCCCACGACCTTGGGGGTTTCCGAAAACAAGAGGAGACTTATTTGGGGGCCCCATACCAAGGATTATGATATTTGAAAATCTATGTTGGGGACTGCCTTCTGTGCACACGCTAATTTGCCACTCCACTCCATCATCCTGTCTCTGTATCCCCCAGAGTGTCGCAAAGTGCCAAATCAGAGTGTAGGATGTACATGAGAAGCTGCCCTACAGCATGTCCCACTCTCGCAGTGAGTCCCACCGCTTCAGGTAAATCAGTTTGCATTTGGAGTCACGGATCCTATCAGCTTTCGTGAGGGTCGGCCCCGGTGAGGAAATCCATTGCTGACTCCTGTGCATTGGCAAACTGCACCAGCATCTTGAAGCAGCATGACCTCGTTCTTGTGGGCTTGTCACTGAAGCTTCAGGTACTGGGAGATGCTTTCGGAAGGCATGTCTGCAAACAAGCACCATGGCTTGCGTTCCGCTGTTTGAGTAGGTTTTGCTTGTTGTGCACCTTCGGCACAATTGCCGACATTTACCGAAGCAGTTTGCCGTAAGCAGAAATTCATTTAGCTGCAGTTGGCCCCCATGCAGGGCTGGACGTTTCGGAAGGATTTCGTGCAGGGCTTTGAGGAAATTCATGAGAGTGCAGAAGGAAAGCCAGCATCATGTCTCACCGTCTCACCCTGCAACACCATCGAGAAGCCGCTTCAAAAAGTTGCAGCCCGATACTTGGCATCAACATCACGTCCGGAAGCATTTGGCACGATTGAGAACAGCGCCTGGACAGGAGGAGGCATCTCAACTCACCAGGCTGTTTAAGGAGCACGCCAAAACAAAAGATGGCTATCTTGGCGACTCGTTTAGAAAATCATGCCCCATCTTCAATCCCCCCTTTTCAGTTTGTCAGACTAAGGCAAGGATGAGTTCATTGCCATTCTGCAGAGGTGCGAGCTTTGGAAGTGGGTCAAGGAAGTAGCAGCGACTTGAAACGCAGCTCACCCTCGGTCTGTGCCAATTTTGTGCGGGCAGCTTGGGAAAGCTTGACATATAGCAACAGTAACAGTCAAATTTGTATTCTGGTGACAGTTGTTATCTTTTCATTGCCAACCGCGTTAGGTTAAGCTATTGCTGATAATCCTTAGGCATATTATCACTACTATTCCTTAGCGTTCTGGACCAGATTGCCTTGAACAATTTCCATGCAGAGGACTTTGTGTGCTAGCTGAGAAGCCTCCGGCCTAATGCAATGCAATGCCAGGTATCCCTGCTGCAACTCGGCCTACCACACAGTGTTCTTTAACCTCTTTGATCGCAATGAGGACATATCTAAGCTCCTTATAGGGGATGATATGGGGGAGTATGTAGGGGTTATAAGGGGTGACACTAGAAGCTTAGACTGTAGCTCATATCAGGTCACGGCTATTTGTACTGCGAAGCTGTTGTTCATCAGTATGCGACCATGATGTCTGTATACTCTGCCGTCCGGTCTGCTTTGCACCCGGCGACGTGAAACCCTCAAGATTGGCAGGACGGTTTCTTGAATGAATCCGACTTTCTGGGCGGCATGCTTGCAGTGAGCTGGTGCCCCGTATTCCACGTGGCAGAAGCGATGTTCGCAAGCTTCAGAATCCGGGACTGTGAGATCAAGCCATCATGGGCATGGGTTTCGTAAGGCACGCAACCTACACTTACGCATTCAAAGGCGCACAAGGCAGCGCATGTTATGTCACCCGCCCCTTGCTCCAGTAGCCGGACAGAAAACCCAGTAGCAACTGCTCCTGACATTCGCTCACACCTCACCCCAGCAACGGACTTAATCAACACGCTGTAAATAGAGAAAGCTAATGCCCGTGCCGAAGAGATGGCCCGCTGATCATGTTCGGCAAAGGGCGCGGCAAGAAGGGCAAAGTGCCGGAAACGCGGCCGAGCTCATGGGCTATCCAAGGCGGAGCAGCCGACAAGATCATCAACACCCCCACCTTGCCCCCCAACAAAAAAGCCAAAAAAGGTGAGGCCAAAGGGAAGGATGCAGAAAAAGCAGATGCACCGAAGATGGCCAACGAGTTGGTGAAGAACCAGGCCACTGAGGAGCAGATCGAGGCCATTTGCGACCTCCTTAGATCCAACAAAGTGGAGAAGGCCCTGCAGTATGTCCAGAAGGACATACAGCCAAAAGCTAAAAGCCGATTATTACTATTACTACTACTATTACTATTACTATTACTATTACTAGTACAAGTAAGCATGCGAACAGCAGAGGGTCACATTTAGCCTGGGCCAGGAGCTTGGAGATGTGTCCAAAGCCAACTCCATGTCCGTCAAACAGCTTCTGGGTTGCTGTTAAGGAACTTAAATTAATTTAACATATTGGGGAAACCCCTATTATTTACTAT